CGAGCGATATGTCCCGACAGCGGCGTCCGAGGCTGATCCGCCCCTCCTGGGAGAAGGCCATCGTGGCTGGCTGTTCCCACGACCCCAGTGGCCATGAAGGCCTGAGCCGTTTCATCAGCCGTGGGGGGGGGGGGGGGGCATGCCATAGGCCAATGGGCCAAAATACTCAAATGCCCACGAGCAAACATTTGAGACGGCGGTGGGTTGCAATGGCAGTGTCACAGGGCGCTTGCGGCACGCACATTCAGCATACGCGGATATCCACGTGCGTTACGTTGCCATCTGCTGCCATGCCTGGCCAGAAGTAGTGGCTTAGAAGCGTGGAGAGCGTTCTTGCGTTTCACCCAAGCGCAGGAACCGGCGACTATGATCCTCCGCCGCCAGCTTGTTCCCACCCGGACGTAGGAGCAAACCAGGCGGTGACGCTGGATGTCCATTCCCCACTGCGTAAAGCCAGTCCTCCAATATTCTTGGTTCTTTCGGTAAAGTCACCGCGTAGAAGGGAAACAATAAAATAATTTAAAAATATATATATAAAACAATTTCATTGTTTCCCTTCTACGTGGTGACTTTACCGAAAGACTCAAGAATATGAATCCCTGCAGTCACGAAAGCTTTAAATCAAAATCAGCCCTCCGATTATTCGCAAATGACGTCGTGGGAAGATCTCGACTTGTGGGAGCATGTGGGTGAATCAGGGCACGAAATAATGCAAACGTGTCGTTCCCACCCCCCCTCTCCCCTCGCAATGATGGCAAAATCTTGTACAAAACGGCGATAGTGTCACACGAATCCAACAGACCTCCGAACATGAGATATCGAGATAGGCGTGGGCTAGTTGCGAACATAGCGAGTCTTGTCGGAGCCTGTAACAACCCCTGTCGTGCCGACGTGCTCCAAATATTTGACAAGAGGACTACGCTTGGTGGCACTTGGACGGTTTGAGCTTCAGACGCACCCCCCCCCCCCCCCCACTGAATGTGAAAAAAAACCCCAGCGCAAATCGCTGTAAATGTTCCTCGAAATAGCGACCAAAGACGATGACGTCATCCAAGTCAATCAAACAACAGACGTCCATTGAAGACCCCATCAACTCCATCACGTGTTTACACGTGCGAGCACGTGCGCGCGTGTTTACACGCAAGCACGTGTTTACGCGTGCAAGCACGTGCGCACGTGTTTACGCGTGCAAGCACGTGCGCGCGTGTTTACGCGTGCAAGCACGTGCGCGCGTGTTTACACGCAAGCACGTACAAACGTTTACACGCAAGCACGATCAAACGTCTACATGTACACGCATGTTTACACGCAAACACGTACACACAGGCGCGTGTTAACACACAGACATGTAAACAGGTACACGCACACACACACAGAATGAAACACAGGCGCAAGGTACAGAGAAGTTTTTTTTATTGTGCATCTTATTTACAACACATCGGTATAACAACTATTTTGGCAAATAATGAGTGGAAGAATACAAAAAAAATATAAAAAGCTGATTATGTGCAATACAGGCCCCTATATATATTAACTCTCTCCCACTACTGTACTCTACAATACAGTGCGCCACTGTACATTGACAGTGCCGTACATTACGCACTGTGCAATACTGTACTGCGGCGGCCGCCATTTTTAAATGGACAGTGCGATAGTCACAGAAGCAATGTTTACAACACTGTACAGGCTTAGTAATCATAATACAACTCTGAATTTGTGTGCGTGTGTGACCAGTGGGGATAACACACTACGCTGGAGGTGGGAATACAATGTGTAGCCAGGCGACGTTTCAAGCAATGGACCTTCTGCAGAGCACATGGGGGCTGGGGCGGGGGTTGGAGGCGCCTTCACCCAGCAATGGATAACAAATTTGTGCCATGACAAAGGGTCACTGCCTGGAACGTCGCCTGTTTTATATGCATATCTCTCTTTTAATTGCGTTGCTGGCAGCCCCTCAACGCTCTCGAAGATATACCACAAGACAACTCGGCACATTTGTCAGTACAAAGGCAAAGATCCCCCGTATAGCCTGAACAGACTGTAGGGGCAAGTGCTGTTAGCGAGCACCTATTAAGGCCGGCACAGCACACGAGGGGCTGGGTGGCCAGCACCACGCCCGGCCGCCTTTGTCTCCCCAGTGGCGATGTTTTCACACCGCACCAGGTACTCATTTGAGGCTGAGTCGACCTAGGGGAGGCCGGGTTCGTAGCGCAACGCGCTAACCACTACACCGCCGCTCCCCCCACACACCAGGCGTGTGTGTAGTTTGGCCTTTTAAAAAAATGAAAGGATAAAAAAATATAAAACGGGTGACGTATCTTGGCCAATGACCCTCCTTCATTGTAGGCACGGCCTTCATGCAGCGGTGGATTACTACTGGCGTAGAGCTGAGTGTGTGTGTGTAAGCGTGTGTGTGAGCGTGTGTGTGTGTGAGCGTGTGTATTTAAGCGTGTGTGTGTGAGCGTGTGTGTGTGTGAGCGTGTGTGTGTAAGCGTGTGTGTGTGAGCGTGTGTGTGTGTGAGCGTGTGTGTGTGTGAGCGTGTGTGTGTGCGTGAGCGTGTGTGTGCGTGAGCGTGTGTGTGTGCGTGAGCGTGTGTGTGTGCGTGAGCGTGTGTATTTAAGCGTGTGTGTGTGTGAGCGTGTGTATGTAAGCGTGTGTGTACGTGAGCGTGTGTACGTGAGCGTGTGTGTGTATGTATGAGATGATCGCTAACAGCACTTGCCCCTACAGTCTGTTAAGGCTATACGGGGGATCTTTGCCTTTTGTATATGAGAGTGCGCGTGTGTGTGTGTGTGAGTGTGCGTGTGTGCTTATATCGTAGGCAAGAGATTCTATCATTTAAAATCACCGAAGGCGCTGCATGTTGCTGTTTGTGGTGGGTGGGTGGTGGTGTTAACCTTAGCTGGAAGTCATTTCACGACCCCCAAAATCGCCACAGATGTCCCTTGGAAAAAGGTAAAACCTTCACGAGTGGATAACAACGAATGGGCGTGATCGTTTGGCAAATCTCAACACTTCTTGAAATGTAGAGGAGGGGGAGGAAGGGAGGTTCGGGATGAAACGAGGAGATGGGATGGAGGTAGGTAAGGAAGGGGAGAGAAGGTATGGGGAAGTCGGGAGGGAGGGGGCTGAAAAAAAAATCTGAGACAAGGAGAGAGAAAGGAGGAAATGTTCGACTCCCGTCCCGTGCCGTCACCTGCACTCAGAAGCAGCAGCACCTTGAGTCTAAAGGCTACCCCTCACCTGCACCCTCAGCAGCCGAGCGTGCTATTAACCGATGATGTGGGCCGGGGGGGCGATGCTGCTGCTGCTGCTGCCGTGATCCCAGCTGAGTAACCTGCGGGCAATTTTGTTCGGAATCGGGGATGTTTCGAAGCCACACTGGTGATTATTAGTACGTTTGATTATATTTCTATGCTTTAGCTTTAGGGATGAAACCCGAGCAGGACAAGAGGGGAGAGAACTCACAAACTCCACACGCTCAGAACAAAAATACAAATGCAAAGATCCCCCCGTGTAGCCTTGAACAGACTGTTGGGGCAAGTGCTGTTAGCGAGCAGCGCGCCTATGCAGGCCGGCGCTGTGGCACACGAGGGGGGTGGCTACCACCACGCCCAGCCGCCTTTGTCTCCCCAGTGGCGATGCTCACACACCGCGCACCAGGTACTCGTTTGGGACCGGGGAGGCCCAGGACCGGATCGCATCATCGTCAGCGGTGTTGGTGGGACCGTGAGCGGGAATGGAACTCGGGTCTCTGCGGGTTCGTAGCGCTGCGTGTTGAACGCTACGCTACCGGCTCCCCACATACAAAATCCACACATCACAGGCACACACTCAAACAACAATAACAACCGCCATTCGCCACTAAGTGGCGGGGGACGTCACCGCGACGCTTGTGCCAGGCTAGGTGCATGTTGAGGCCACGTGAAGTGTCAAATGCTCGCTGGCAGGTCACGGGACAGACCCAGCAGGTGCCACGGGTCGACCGACTGAGACGACTGAGATGACTGGCTGATGCACCACCTGTCCCCCTACTGTGCCAACTTGCTATGCTTTAGCCACCCGGCGTTCCGCTCGTTGTTGTGAGCGTCGCTCCTCCCCCCTCCGTTGTTGGAGGGCGACTGCCTCCAACTGCCCAGTAGCGTCCTTCACGAGCCTCCTGCACAGAGGCCGATCTTGACACCGCTGGCACCAGTCATCGTCAAGTCCACTCAGCTCCACGTACTCCTGTACCACATCACTCCATCTCTTCTCTAGCCCGTGCCGCGCCCGTTTAGCCCCCTCAATCCGGTCGAACAAAAGCTGTTTCGGCATGCGGTGGCTGGGCATGCGGGCTACATGACCCAGCCAATGCAGCCATGCCTGCCGGAGGAGCTCACCGATGGGACTTTGTCCAGATCTTTCAAGGATATGTGAGCTCCTCACACAATCCAGCCTGGTTAAACCCAAGATGGATCGTAGGCAGGCTATCCTAAATGTTTCTAACCGGCGAAGATGTTCCATTAGGGGGGACCACGTTTCGCAAGCGTAGAGAAGGGAGGGAATAACCGTGGCCGAGAAGACCTGAAGCTTAGTGCGGAGCGACAGACCAGGTAGCTTCCACACAGCGTTACGCGACCGATGAAAGATATTGCCGCTCGACTGATTCGGAGTGAGACCTCTGCTGTTAAACCGGAGCCGGTCATGAGCACACTGCCCAGGTATGGGAAACTCTCCACTCTCTCCACAATACCCAGGCAGGTGCTTAGTTTTGGTGGGGCTGATGGTACGGCCCCACCTCTTAGTGGCAAGCTCCAGGTTCAGGCAGCAGCGCCTCCAACTCCTAGACAACAACAACCGCCATTCGCCACTAAGTGGCGGGGACGTCACCATGACGCTTGTGCCAGGCCATGTGCACCTTGAGGCCACGTGAAGTGTCGAACGCCCGCTAGCAGGAGGTCACGGGGCAGACCCAGGTGCCACGGGTCGACTGAGTCATCTCAGTAAACTCCTAGACACACTCACAGACACACTCACTCACTCACAGACACATACATACGGTCTGCAGAACATGGGGAAGCGAGAGAGAGAACGTGCAGAGACTCCACACAGACGGGATTCGAACCCAGGCCCTTCTTGCTTGCATGGCGCAAGCATCACCACCCCGATGCCACACTGTACAACGCTCACAGCCTGTGCTGTACTGATGATGAGGAGCCCTAATGAGGACGAAGCCGGTCTAGAGCTGTCACTGTTTCACTGCTGCTGCTGCTGTTGCTGTTGTCTGTTGGGATGCCTACATTAGATTTTTACCCGATATAATTGTTTTATTTTCCCAGCTGAGGGCCACTGAGCTATAACAGATCTTTTTAAGGAGCGTACTGGCCATCGCAAGCGATAGTTCAACGAAGCGGCTTATCACGTGGACATTTATAGCAGCCAAATGCTCTGGATGCGTGGTGATATTAATTCTGCAATGTGGAGGGAAAAAAACCGGAGGACCCGGAGAAAAATCCACACGACCACGGGGGGAGAGAGAGAGAGACACGCAAACTCTAAATATACAGCAGCAGGCGTCAGGGTCGGGGTGGAATCCACGACCTCCTGTGTACCAGGCGAGGTAGTTAACATTTCTCCCCCGCAGCGCCCTAACCTCCAATTACAGCCACACTTTTTCAGTTCCCTTTGAGTTGGTGGTCCGGACAGGGTTGAGAGCATTGTACGCCAGGCCTAATCGATTTGGCGCTTGCGAGTAGCAGCAGCAGCAGCAGAACGAACCGCCCCTGGGAGCGTTCGTTGAAAAATTCAAAACGGCGACGGCTCCGGATTGAGAAGTCGCTGCCGGCGACTTCTCAATCCGGAGCACCACGCACGCACAACCGGAGACTCCGGGAACTCTTGCCAGAGCGCTCGCCGATGTGTATATATATATAGCCCTCACGTCTCCAAAAGCGTGGCCCGTGAGTCGATAGGACGACGAGCGAGTACCTCGTTTAGCGCGCCCGACGCACTTTTCGTGGCGAAAAGAATTGCCACGACGATGGAGTTTGGCGAGATACGGACGTCCGGGACGGCCACGCACACCGCGTGCTTCAGCCGTATCACTGCACCGCTCTGTCGCGCGGCTCCAGAGCGTGGTTCGTCATCGACGGCTCAGAAACCGCGTTGTAACGGTGTGCTTGTTCCCCGTTATAACGGGGGCACGTGTGCCTCGTTATAACGGCGCGTGTTCCCCGTTATAACGGCGCGTGTTCCCCGTTATAACGGCGCGTGTTCCCCGTTATAACGTCACGTGTTCCCCGTTATAACGTCACGTGTTCCCCGTTATAATGGCACGTGTTCCCCGTTATAACGTCACGTGTTCCCCGTTATAACGTCACGTGTTCCCCGTTATAACGTCACGTGTTCCCCGTTATAACGGCACGTGTTCCTCTTTATAACGGCATGTGTTCCTCGTTATAACGGCACGTGTTCCTCGTTAGAATGGCACGCGCTCCGTGTTATAACGGTGACCGTGTTTCCTCGTTATAACGTCAAGTGTTCCGCATTATAACGGTGACCATGTTCCTCGTTATAACGGTGAGTGCGCGGGCTAAGTCACAACGGTGTGCGTGATCGTCATAACGGTGTGCGTGATCGTCACAACGGCGTGCGTGTTCCTAGTTACAATGGCGTGCGTGTTCCTAGTTATAACGTCACGTGTTCCTAGTCATAACGGCGTGCGTGTTCCTAGTTATAACGTCACGTGTTGCTAGTTGTAACGTCACGTGTTCCTAGTTGTAACGTCACGTGTTCCTAGTTGTAACGTCACGTGTTCCTAGTTGTAACGTCACGTGTTCCTAGTTATAACGTCACGTGTTCCTAGTCACAGCGGCGCCGTTGTGAACGGCGTTCCCTGGCGGAACGCCGCCCACGCGTGGAGCGAGGCGACTCGCCGCGCCGTACGTTCAAGTAGCGGACTTAGGACCGGGATCGCGACACGCCAACGACAGCAAGCTCTGAAAGAGACCTCCAGGCCTCGAAGGGAAGGGGTGTATTTGGCCTACTCTTCCACGCTGGGGCCGGGGGGGGGCCGGAAGAGACGGGAGTTACCCGCACGCTACCCCATCACGCGCGCGCCGCCAATTCGTCGACCGGCGTGGGAAAGAAACTTCAGGGCTGCACCCTTGCCCATTGTGACTAGGTAGCCCAGTTTACCACGGTCATTTCGCGTTGCGGTTAAGCTTTGCTTACCGACGTTTGACGGGATTCACCGTGCGTGCTGAAAATGTATAAATTAAATATCTTGACGCCCAGCCGGGATTCACTACTGGCTGCTGCTCACTCGATGCGCGGGTCCGGTGGCTCGGTGCAGTTCGTATTTGGCCTGCGATAAAATCGCACGGTGAATTGATTGTGAATCTCTCGGTGAGGCGACTGTGAATCTCATGGTGAGGCGACTGTGAATCTCACGGGGAGGTGATTGTGAATCCCATGGTGAGATGATTGTGAATCTCACGGTGAGGTGATTGTGAATCTCACGGGGAGGCGATTGTGAATCTCACAGTGAGGTGACTGTGGTGACTGTGAATCTCACGGTGAGGTGATTGTGAATCTCACGGTGAGGTGATTGTGAATCTCACGGGGAGGCGACTGTCAATCTCGCTGGCCCCACGGCGCCACATTACGGTGAAACTCACCGGCACCAGGGTGGCTCCCCCGATGGCTCACGTCGGTGCCGCCATCGCACCGGGGCCGGCCCGGCGTTATCGCCTCCCGGCTGTCATCGATTTGATCTTTGTCGCTGCTACCGCCGCTAGTGTCCCCGGCCACGGCTAGTGCTGCCGCTAGTGCTGCCGCCGGACGCGGCTACAACCCTCGCGAGGTCGTGCCCCGGCTGGCGAGCTATCGGAGAACGCCGGCGCTGCCCCTGGCGCAATCGGCGCACGTCAACTCAGCGACAGGCCGCGGCGCTGCCGCGCCGGCGCCGCTGTTCGGGAAGACCGCCTTCTCCGCCGATGTCCTGTCGCCGCCGCCGCCGCCGCCGCCGCCGGCATCGCGACCTATTGCCAGTGCCGCGCCGACGGCCCTGGTCCCGGCGCAACCGTGGCGACCCTCGGCGCAGACGTAGCCGCCGTTTGTCGGGCGGGGGGTCGACTTGTGGAGGGTGAGGTCCACGACGGCCGGCGGCTCGGCGCGCCGGGCGGCGCCAGCATCGGCAACGGCACCGGCGACATCGGCGGCGGCACCGGCGACATCGGCGGCGCCGCCGGCGTCGACGCGATCTCCCGCCTCGCCACCCGCGTCTGTGCCACTGACTGCAGCGCCACAACCAACTCCACCGCCGGCTCCACCAGCAGATCCACCAGCAGATCCACCACAAACTCCACCGCCAGATTCACCATCAACTCCACCACCAGATCCACCACCAGATTCACCACCAGATTCACCAGCAACTCCATCACCAGATCCATCACGAACTCCACCACCAGATTCACCACCAGATTCACCACCAGATTCACCAGCAACTCCATCACCAGATCCACCACAAGCGCCACCACCAGCTTTGGCGTCTACATGGGCATCTCCGATTTCATCATTGTGCCCGTGACCATCTGCAGCATCGCCTCCACCACCACCACCCTGCTGCTGGGTCTTATCGGCGACGTCGGCATCTTCGCCGTGAGCGGCAGCTCCGGCAACATCTTCACTCACGTCCTCACCGCCACCATCACCACAAGGATCGGCAAAGTCATCGCCATCATCATTGCCACCGCCGTCACTCGCACCATCAAGTTTGCTAGCGGCGAGATCAGCACCACCGCCGCCATCGTCGCCGCCGTCACCGTCGCCGCCATCGCCGCCAGCGTCACCGTCTCTCTTTGCGAGGGGCGTTCCGCCTTCCCTCTCCTCGTCGGCCACGCAAACCTCCGCCGCCTCCACCTTCACGCTGACGAGGGTCACCTCGTCCTTCAGGTCGCGTCCACCTCCGCCGCCTCCTCCTCCTCCAACACCTCCTCCAACCCCTCCGTTGATGAGGACGTGAGCGCCGACGCCACCGCCGTCATTGCCCCCGTGGCGACCCCAGCCGCCGGGTCCGATCGGCACAGGCACCGGGATGGGGATGGGGATGGGGATCGGCACGGGCACCAGCACCGGGTACGGCACCAGCAGCGTGGGTGGAGGCACCAGCGGAGCCAGTGGAGGGACCATCATGAACTGATGCTGCTGCCCTCCGTGCGGGTATGGGGGCATCTGCTGCTGCTGTTGCTGATGATGCTGCTGATGATGCTGATGCTGCTGCTGTTGCGAATGAGGGTAGGCGCTAGCCGGAGCCTGGGCGCCAGCGGCGCCAGCTGCCGGCCGTGCCGGCAGCTGGACCTGCGGGAAGACGGGCACAGCAAACCGCGCCGGCTGGTTCACCAAGTACGTCGTGCTTAGCGCCCCCGGCAGCAAGTTCTGCGGTGTCACCTGCTGGTGCTGCTGCTGCTGCTGCTGGAGGTGCTGCTGCTGGTGATGCCGGTTGTTGTGGTTGTGCTGCTGCTGCTGCTGGTGCGGCTGCTGCTGCTGCCCGCCGATCTCAACCTTCCCAGCGACCGGGAGGAGGAGGCACGGAGACTTCTTGGCCGGATCGCGCTGCTGGTGCAATGGCGCCGCCCCCGCCACGTCAGCCCGCCGCGCCACGCCGCCTCTCCGCGCGTCCGGCGCCGGCAGGAGCCGCGGCCGCAGGCCCCGCGCCGGCGCCTGCGGCCCCGGCAGCGGAGGGGGCGGCGGAGACTCGTCCCGTTTGATGGGTGCCAGCGCCGTCGTCCCCACCATCCTGGCGAACTTCGACTCCTGCTGCCGGTGCCGGCGCTCGTCCGGTGACGATCGCGGCGGCGGCGGCGGCTCGGCGAGCTCCCCGGGGCCGGCGCCGCACTTTGCCGTTGCCGGCGCCGCCTCCCCCCACGGCCCCCGGTGCCTCTGCGCCGGCGAAGCCTGCGGGCAAGCGCCGCCATTCCCGATCTTGGCGGCGACGTCGCCGGCACCGGCGTTAGAACCGCCGCCGCCGGCGCCGGCGCCGCCGCCGCCCTTGTCTCGATCCGGCGTGGCGGAAGAGGGCGGCTTGTCGCCGTCGTTGGCGCCGCCGTCGGCCGGCGTGGAAGAGGAGGAGGAGGAGGAGTGCGGCGCCGCCGACCCCGGCGCCGGGAGGTTGGCACGAGTCTCGGAGTAGAAGACGTCGATCTTGTAGCGGCCCAGGCACTTGTCGCTGCAGAAGCGCAGCCGGCGCTCGCCCTCGCCGAACCCCAGGTACTCAAGCGCCTGGCACGCCTGCTTGCACCAGTCACACACCTGGGGTTGGGGGAGGCGGGTGAGATCGTTGACGTTTGCGTGCCAGCAGCGAAGGCGACAAGTGGTGCTGGTGGCGGTACTGGTGGCGGTACTGGTGGTGGTGGCGGTGCTGGTGGTGCTGGTGGCGGTGCTGGTGGTGGTGGCGGTGCTGGTAGTGGTGGTGGTGCTGGTGGTGGTGGCGGTGCTGGTAGTGGTGGTGGCGGTGCTGGTGGTGGTGGCGGTGCTGGTAGTGGTGGTGGTGCTGGTGGCGGTACTGGTGGTGGTGGTGGTGCTGGTGGTGCTGGTGGCGGTGCTGGTGGTGGTGGCGGTGCTGGTAGTGGTGCTGGTGGTGGTGATCCTGTTGCTGGTGGTGATGATGGTGCTGGTGGTGGCGGTGTTGATGGTGGTAATGGTGCTGGTGGTGGTGCTGGTAGTGGTGGTGGTGCTGGTGGTGGTGATCCTGTTGCTGGTGGTGGTGCTGGTGGTGATGGTGCTGGTGGTGGTGGTGCTGGTGCTAGTGGCGGTGTTGATGGTGGTAATGGTGTTGGTGGTGGTGGTGGTAGTGCTGGTTGTGGTGCTGGTGGTGAAGGTGGTGGTGAAAGTGGTGGTGGTGTTGGCGGTAGTGCTGCTGGTGCTGCTAAGTGCTGGCAGTGCTGCTACTGGTGCTGCTGGTAGTGGAGGTAGTGCTGCTGGTAGTGGTGCTGCTGGTACTGCTGGTGCTGCTGCTGCTGGCACCTTGTTGCGCTTGAAGTGTGCCCGCCGGCCCGCGCTGAAGCACTTGTCGCTGCAGAAGGCGCGGATCTCTCCCCCCATAGGCAGCGCGTAGCGTCGCTGCCCCACCTTCTGGCACCAGGAGCACGGCGCCTGTGGGCACGGCGCCACCCCCGCCTCCTCCTCTGCGCAGATGCCGCGGTGGCGAGATGTTAACTACCTCGCCTGGTACACAGGAGGTCGCGGGTTCGATCCCGACGCTGACGCCTGCTACTGTATATTTGGAGTCTGCGTGTCTCTCTCTCTCTCATCATCATCACGGTGGCTGGGAGATGTTAACTACCTCGCCTGGTACGCAGGAGGTCGCGGGTTCGATCCCGACCCTGACGCCTGCTGCTGTATATTTGGAGTTTGCGTGTCTCTCTCTCTCTCTCATCATCATCACGGTGGCTATGAGATGTTAACTACCTCGCCTGGTATGCAGGAGGTCACGGGTTCGATCCCGACGCTGACGCCTGCTGCCGTATATTTGGAGTTTGCGTGTCTCTCTCTTTCCCTGTGGTGGCGCTGCTGGTGGTGTGGATTTTTCTCCGGGTCCTTGGGTTTTCCCCTCCGCGTTTAGAATCGGCGTCACGCCTTTTAGAGTATTTGGCTGCTGCTGATGAGCCCACTTCGTTGAGCTACCGTTTGCACTGACCAGCGTTGCTTCTGAACGAGCGCTACGTAGCTCAGTGGGGGGGCCTTACCTGGCAAGAATAAAAATCGTTACATTGTTTTCGTTTAGTTTTAGATGCAGCCGGTGCCCCGTCGCGGTCTTGTCCAGACCACCGGCGCCGCGACGGAACTGTAACCGAGCGGCCGTTTCGTCGACAGAAAGCGCAAGCGGGCGGACGCCGAGAGTTGAGCAACGCCGCGGCCGTTCCGTACGGGCGCAGGGGTTGGGGCGCACCGGCGCCATGGAGCCCGGAGGACCGAGTTCCATTCCCGAGTTCGCTCGCAACGCTCTCGACCGGTGACGCTGGACGGCGAATATTTGAGCCGGACGTGGGCCTCCCGCTAGGTCGACTCAGCCTCAAATGAGTACCCGGTGCGGTGTGTAAACATCAGTCCTGGGGAGACAAAGGCGGCCGGGTGTGGTTCAATCCGCACCACCCTCTCGTGTGCTGTGCCGGCCTTCATCGATGCTACTCACTAGCAGCAGTTGCCCTGACAGCCTATGGAGATTAGAGGGAGGTCTTTGTCTTGTGTGTGTGAGCGTGAGAGTCCTGAGTACGTAGTGCGAGAGACAGTGTGAGTGAGAGTGACAGTACGTAGTGGGAGTGTGAGTACGTAGTGTGAGTGAGAGTCTGAGTGTGAGTACGTAGTGTGAGAGAGAGTGAGAGTACGTAGTGTGAGTGAGAGGGTGAGTACGTAGTGTGAGAGAGAGTGAGAGTACGTAGTGTGAGTGAGAGGGTGAGTACGTAGTGTGAGAGAGAGTGAGAGTACGTAGTGTGAGAGAGAGTGAGAGTACGTAGTGTGAGAGAGAGTGTGAGTACGTAGTGTGAAAGAGAGTGAGAGTACGTAGTGTGAGAGAGAGTGTGAGTGTGAGTACGTAGTGTGAGAGAGAGTGTGAGTACGTAGTGTGAGAGAGAGGGTGAGTGTGAGTACGTAGTGTGAGTGAGAGTCTGAGTGTGAGTACGTAGTGTGAGAGAGTGAGAGCGAGATACGTAGTGAGAGAGTGTGAGTGAGAGTACGTAGTGTGAGAGAGAGTGTGAGTTTGAGCACGTAGCGCGAGTGTGAGTACGTAGTGTGAGGGAGAGAGTGTGAGTGTGAGTACGTAGTGTGAGAGAGAGTGTGAGTGTGAGTACGTAGTGTGAGAGAGAGTGAGAGGGAGAGTACATAGTGTGAGAGAGAGTGTCAGTAGGTAGTGAGAGAGAGTGTGAGTGAGAGTACGTAGTGTGAGAGAGAGTGTGAGTGAGAGTACGTAGTGTGAGAGAGAGTGTGAGTACGTAGTGTGAGAGAGAGAGTGTGAGTACGTAGTGTGAGAGAGAGGGTGAGTGTGAGTACGTAGTGTGAGTGAGAGTATGACTGTGAGTACGTGGTGTGAGAGAGAGTGAGAGTGTGAGTACGTAGTGTGAGAGAGAGTGTGAGTACGTAGTGTGAGAGAGAGTGTGAGTACGTAGTGTGAGAGAGAGTGTGAGTACGTAGTGTGAGAGAGAGTGTGAGTACGTAGTGTGAGAGAGAGTGTGAGTACGTAGTGTGAGAGAGAGTGTGAGTACGTAGTGTGAGAGAGAGTGTGAGTACGTAGTGTGAGAGAGAGTGTGAGTACGGAGTTGGGAGTGCAGAGTGTGAGAGGGCGGAGTGCGAGATGTGCAGAGTGTGAGAGAGAGTGTGAGTGAGAGTACAGAGCGTGAGAATGTGAGTGTGAGAGTGTGTGAGTGAGAGTACTGAGTGTGAGTGTCCGAGTGAGAGTATGGAGTACGGCTTGCTGAGTGTGAGTGTACTGAGTACTGAGTGTGAGAGTGTGAGTGAGAGTACTGAGTGTGAGAGTGTGAGTGAGAGTACTGAGTGTGAGTACTGAGTACTGAGTGTGAGAGTACTGAGTGCTGAGTGTGAGAGTACTGAGTACTGAGTGTGAGAGTGTGAGTGTGAGTACTGAGTGTGAGAGTGTGAGTGTGAGTACTGAGTGCTGAGTGTGAGTGAGAGTGAGAGTACTGAGTACTGAGTGTGAGAGTGTGAGTGAGGGTACTGAGTGTGAGAGTGTGAGTGTAAGGGTACTGAGTGTGAGAGTGTGAGTGTAAGAGTACTGAGTGTGAGAGTGTGAGTGTGAGTACTGAGTGCTGAGTGTGAGAGTGTGAGTGAGAGTGAGAGTACTGAGTGTGAGAGTGTGAGTGAGAAAACTGTGTGCTGAGTGTGCGAGTACTGAGTATGAGAGTACAGAGTGCTGAGTGTGAGAGTACTGAGTGTGATAGTGTGAGTGAGAGTATTGAGTACTGAGTGTGAGAGTGTGAGTGTGTGAGTGTGAGTGAGAGTACTGAGTGTGAGAGTACTGAGTACTGAGTATGAGAGTACTGAGTGCTGAGTGTGCGAGTGAGAGTGAGAGTGTGAGTACTGAGTGCTGAGTGTGAGAGTACTGAGTACTGAGTGTGAGAATGTGAGTGAGAGTAATGAGTACTGAGTGTGAGAGTGTGAGTGAGAGTACTGAGTACTGAGTGTGAGAGTGTGAGTGAGAGTACTGAGTGTGAGTGTGAGAGTACCGAGTACTGAGTATGAGAGTACTGAGTGCTGAGTGTGAGAGTGTGAGTGAGTGTGAGAAAACTGAGTGCTGAGTGTGCGAGTGAGCCTACTGAGTACTGAGTGCGAGTGTGAGAGTGTGAATGTGAGTGAGAGTACTGAGTACTGAGTGTGAGAGTGTGAGTGAGAGTACTGAGTACTGAGTACGAGTGTGAGTGTAAGAATACTGAGTGCTGAGAGTGTGAGTGAGAGTACTGAGTACTGAGTGTGAGTGAGAGTACTGAGTGTGAGTGTGAGAGTACCGAGTACTGAGTATGAGAGTACTGAGTGCTGAGTGTGCGAGCGAGAGTGAGACTACTGAGTACTGAGTGCTGAGTGTGAGAGTACTGAGTGCTGAGTACTGAGTGCTGAGTGTGCGAGTGTGAGTGAGTGTACTGAGTGTGAGAGTACTGAGTACTGAGTGCTGAGAGTGTGAGTGAGAGTGCTGAGTGTGCGAGTACGGAGTGTGAGGGTACTGAGTGCGAGAGTGTGAGTGAGAGTACTGAATGCTGAGTGTGAGTACTGAGTGTGAGAGTGTGAGTACGGAGTGTGAGGGTACTGAGTGCTGAGTGTGTGAGTGTGAGTACGGAGTGTGAGAGTACTGAGTGTGTGAGTGTGAGTACGGAATGTGAGGGTACTGAGTGTGTGAGTGTGAGTACGGAGTGTGAGGGTACTGAGTGCTGAGTGTGTGAGTGTGAGTACGGAGTGTGAGGGTACTGAGTGCTGAGTGTGTGAGTACGGAGTGCGGATTTCTGAGTGTGGTCTCACCCCCAGTGGCGCCGTGCAGTTGGGGTGCCCTGGTGAGCGGCGACGCCGCTGGCGCTGCCAGGGGGGGGCTGAGGAGGGGCACGATCAGGGGGATGGGCCCCGGTGCTACCTGGGGGATTCACAGCAACCCCATTAACAACACCCGCTAACACACAACACCCGCTAACACACAACACCCGCTAACACACAACACCCGCTAACACACAACACCCGCTAACACGCAACACCCGCTAACACGCAACACCCGCTAACACGCAACACCCGCTAACACACAACACCCGCTAACACACAACGCCCGCTAACACACAACGCCCGCTAACACACAACACCCGCTAACACGCAACACCCGCTAACACGCAACACCCGCTAACACACAACGCCCGCTAACACACAACACCCGCTAACACACAACGCTCACTAACACACAACGCTCACTAACACACAACGCTCACTAACACACAACGCTCACCAACACACAACGCTCGCCAACATACAACGCTCACTAACACACAACGCTCACTAACACACAACGCTCACTAACAAACAACGCTCACTAACACACAACGCTCACTAACACAACGCTCACCAACATACAACGCTCACCAACATACAACGCTCGCCAACACATAACGCTCACTAACACACAATGCTCACTAACACACAACGCTCACTAACACACAACGCTCACTAACAAACAACGCTCACTAACAAACAATGCTCACTAACAAACAACGCTCACTAACACACAACGCTCACTAACACAACGCTCACTAACATACAACGCTCGCCAACACACAACACTCACTAACACACAACGCTCACTAACACACAACGCTCACTAACACACAATGCTCACTAACATACAACGCTCACTAACACACAACGCTCACTAACACACAATGCTCACTAACACACGCTCACTAACACAACGCTCACTAACATACAATGCTCACTAACATACAACGCTCGCTAACACACAACGCTCACTAACACACAACGCTCACTAACATACAACGCTCACTAACACAACGCTTGCCAACACACAACGCTTGCCAACACACAACGCCCGTTAACACACAACGCTCACTAACACACAACGCTCACTAACACACAACACCCGCTAACACACAACACCCGCTAACACACAATGCTCGCTAACACACAACGCTCACTAACACACAACGCTCACTAACACACAACACTCGCTAACACACAACGCTCACTAACACACAACGCTCACTAACACACAACGCTCACTAACATACAACGCTCACTAACATACAACGCTCGCCAACACACAACGCTCACTAACACACAACGCTCACTAACACACAACGCTCACTAACACACAACGCTCGCTAACATACAACACTCACTAACACACAACGCTCGCTAATATACATGGCTCAACAGTACACAACGCTCGCCAATATACAATCCTCGCTATTAACAACAGCCACCGATATACAACGCTCGCCAATGTATGATGCTCGACAATATGTGACGCTCGCTAAAATACAACGCTCGCCAATATACAACGCTCGCCAATATACAATGCTCGCTAGTAACAATGCATTCCAATATACAACGCTCATACGACACTCACTGTTATAAGACGCTCGCTAATATACGACACTCACTAACGCTCTCTTATATACATGGTTGGCCAATATACAATGCTCGCTAAGAAACAACATTCGGCAACTTCTTTGGTTCTTTCGGTAAAGTCACCACGTAGAGACTGTCTGGTAGGACAGCGCTGGAGTGCTGGAGTGCTGTCCTACCAGACAGTCTCGTCCCTTCACCTGATGAAGGCCGCTTGTGTTGTGGCCGAAACGTCGTGAGAATATTATTGTGTTATTTTATTTTATCAATTTATTATTTTATTCTCATTCCACGTGACTTTACCGAAAGAACCAAAGAAGATGAATCATTGCAGTCACGAAAGCTTTAAATCGAAACATTCGGCAATATACAACGCTCGGTAATATATTCAACGCTCGAAAGTGTACAACGCTTGCCAATGTAACACGCTCGCCAATGTACAACGCTCGACAATGTATAACGCTCGCCAATATGCGACGCTCGCTAATAACAAATCACCAATATACAACGCTCGCCAATGCACAACGCTCGCCGATAACAAGTCACCCTTGCCAATAACGCTCGCTAATATACAACGCTCGCTACATACATGGCTCGCCAAAAATATGACTGGCCAATATCCATGGCTCGCCAATATACAACGCTCGGCTATATACAATGCTCGATAAAATACAAAATTGGCGAATAACAACGCTCGCTAATAACAACGCTCGATAACATACAACGCTCAGAAATAGACAACGCTCGCTAATATGCAACCCTCGCCATTGTACAACGCTCGCCAAGAAATAACGCTCGCTCGTAACAACAGTCACCAATGTACAACGCTCGCTCACTAATAAAGCTTGCCAATGTGCAACGCTCCCCAATGTATGACGCTCGCCAATATGTACAACGACCGCCAATATCTACATCGCTCGCCAATGTACAACGCTAGTTAACAAACAAACGCTCGCCAATATAGAACATTCGCTAATGTCCAATGCTCACCGATTTACAATGCTCGGTAATATACCACGCTCGCTAAATGTACAACGCTCACCAATGTACAATGCTCGCCAATGTACAATGCTCGATAAATACAAAGTTCGCTAATAACAATGCTCGCTAATAACAATGCTTACTCGCGAATGTGCGTCACTCGCTAATGTGCAACGCTCACCAATGATTACTGACACCCTGTATAAGTCAGCCCCAAGTACTGTACTGAAGAAGCTTGATTCCATCTATCACTCGGCCTTAAGATTTGCATTGAACTGCCCATATAGGACTCACCACTGTGATCTCTACATTGGGTCACACTTAACATATCTTAATGTTCGACGGCTTGTGCACCAGATCTTATTTATTCACGATGTACTTACAAAAAAATCCGCAGACTACCTGCTGGATCTCCTCTCTGTTTCAAAGAACAAATTTGACCTAAGGTCTTCGCTCATTTATCAGCTTCACATTCCCTATTGCCGTACAAAAACTGGAGGAAGGGACTTTGCTATTGATGCCCCCAGGGTCTGGAATGCTATTGCCAATAAACTGCAACTTGAATCACTACCTGTGAGATATTCACTCAAAACTGCTAGAGGAGTTGTAAACCCCTAGCTGTCCCTGCTATTCAGTGGCCTAAAATAAAATAAAATGTTTCGCTCCGGATGACTGCTGCAAAGTATTATCTGTAATTTGATTTAGTCTGCTGATCTTAAAGGTGCATTGAAAATATTGATACTCCGACTGATGCTCCTGCTGTTGTGGAGTGACTCATGCAGCCAGCTATGGCTGCAGGGTTTGGTGGTACATGTTGTTTATGTCGTTTATTGTGAAAATTTGGTCACAGTTCCTATGATCACTGTTACGTTGCTTTTATGTCTTTATTTTGGTGATTTCGAAAAGTTTTTTGGTTTGTCCATGTTTTTGTTTTGTTGTAGTACGGAGTTAGACTGATGGCCTTAATCTAAGTTGTTTTGTGGTTGTTGTTATTTGACTTGCATCCCACTGAGATTTTTGCACACAGCGTTGGTGTACGGTGCTATTTCTGGAATATTTTGCTGTCTTTTCTTGGATTTTCTGTTTGCATAGTCACACATAGTCACTTTAAGATGTTTTCTTGTTCGTGTTTTAGTTTTCTGTTTGTTGCGGTTGCACCCGATTCAAGAGCCGAATGGCTCACAGGGCTATACCAAGTAAATTAAACTGAAAACTGAAACACTGCTCGCCAATGTACAACGCTCACCAATGTATAATGCTCGCGGATACACAACGCCCGCTAATGTACAACGCTCGCCAATGTACAATGGTCACCAATGTATAACGCTCGCTAATATTCAATGCTCGGCAATGTAGAACGCTTGTCATTGTACAACGCTCGCATTCGTGAACACAAAGCAGACCTTAAACACGGTAGGACCAACACCTCGGCCGTGGCAGATCACTGTTATAATTCAGTAGGCTCACGTGACATTGACTTCTCCAAGACAGAGGTTCTTTGCAAGCCATCTGGCTACCATGAGAGATTCGTTCATGAGGCTATCCACATATACAAACACAGAGACAATTTCAACCGAGAAGATGGATTCTGGCTTAGCAATCATTGGAAGGATTTGATCAACCATTTCGGGTCTTAATTGATTGTTCACGCTTACGGTGGCTTTCAGACAGCATACATTAATTTTTCGTCTCCCCCCTCCTCTTTTCCGAACATAGATGGACTCGTCCATCTGAACAAACTGTCAAATCGCTATCCGTGGTGCTAACGTTTAAAAATAAATAAAAACAAACCGCCACTTCTTTCAAATGTTCTTGTCGTTGGTTTTCACACCTGATGATGACTGTGTTGCAGTCGGAACGTCGTGAGAATTTTATTGTTTTATACATATTTTATTATTTTATTGTTTTCCTTCAACATGACTTTACCGAAAAAACCAATAATATGAAACACTATAGTACTATAGTAAACAGTATACACGTGGTCACAACACTATAGTACTGTAGTAAACAGTACACACGTGGTCACAACATCATAGTACTGTAGTAAACAGTATACACGTGGTCACAACACTATAGTACTATAGTAAACAGTATACACGTGGTCACAACACTATAGTACTGTAGTAAACAGTATACACGTGGTCACAACACTATAGTACTATAGTAAACAGTATACACGTGGTCACAACACTATAGTACTATAGTAAACAGTATACACGTGGTCACAACACTATAGTACTGTAGTAAACAGTACACACGTGGTCACAACACTATAGTACTATAGTAAACAGTATACACGTGGTCACAACACTATAGTACTGTAGTAAACAGTATACACGTGGTCACAACACTATAGTACTATAGTAAACAGGATACGCTCGCATGGATGTTGACTATACGAGTGAGGCACGCCGACTGAGACCGAGCATGGGAGATGATTACCCACAATCCTGCAGCGAGAGAGGGAGAGAAGAACCATTGGCTCGGTTGTGATCACGTGATGCTTGGCAGACAAAGCGTGTACTGTGTACGTACTGCTCGTATTGCAAGACCCTCGCTCGTTTATCAAGTTAATATTCATTTACAAATTTTGCTCATCTTGCAAAAGACTCGCAGACCAAGTTACTCGCAATCCAAGGTTTCACTGTACAACGCTCGCTAATGTACAACGCTCGCTGATATAGAACTTCCGCTAATATACATGGCTCGCCAATATACAATGCTCGTGAAAAACAACGCTTGCAAATGTACAACGCTCGCCAACATACATCGCTCACCAATGTACAACGCTAGCCAATAAACAACGCTCGTCCAATGTATAATGCTCACCAATATATAATGCTCGCCAATGTACAACGCTAACTAATAACCACGCTTGCCAATGTACAATGCTTGCCGATGTACAACGCTCGACAAAGCACAACGCTCGCCAATGTACGATGTAGATTTGAAGTTTTCGTGACTGCAGGGATCCACACTCGTTGGTTATTTCGGTAAAATGATCACGTGGGTAGAAAATAAAATGAATTAAATCACGCGACGTTTCGGGCGCAACACAAGCTGTCCGTCATCAGGTGGGACAACCACAGCAGGAAACAATTGCTGAGGTGGCCAAAAGGGCTGCTGTGACAAGAGACTTTATAGGTAAGAGAGGGGGGAGGATATAAAATGCTCACTAATATACAATGCTCACCATTATGCAACGCTCGTTAATGGACAACTCTTGTTCATGTATAACGCTCGCTAATATAGACGTTTTCGCTAATAACGCTCGCCAATACACGTCGCTCGCCAATGTATAATTCTCACGAATACACAACGCTCACCAAAATACAACGCTCACTAATAACAACGCTTGCCAATGTACAATGCTTGCCAATGTGCAATGCTTGTTAATATACAATGCTCACTAATATGGAACTTTCGCTACTAAAAATGCTCACAAATGTACAGCGCTTGCAAATGTACGGCGCACGCTAATGTATAATGCTCACGAATACACAACGCTAGACCAAAATACAACGCTCACTAATAACAACGCTCGTCAATGTACAACGCTCACCAATTTACAACTCTCATGATTATACAACGCTCGACAATAAACAATGCTCCCTAATATACAACGCTTCGCCAATAAAAACGCTCACCAATATGCATCGCTCACTAATGTACAATGCTCGCTAATAGCAACACTCGCTAATAACAACACCCGCAAATATACAACGCTCGCTAATATACAACGCTCGCTAATATACAATGCTTGCTAATATACAACACTCGCTAATATAAACTGCTCGGTAATATACGATTCCTACCCTACGACTCGCTAACATACAATGCCCGCCATTGACAACACTGGCCAATGAGTGGGTGAGTGAGTGAGTGAATGAGTGGTTGAATGAATGAGTGGTTGAGTGAGTGAGTGTATGAGTGGGTGGGTGAGTGTATGAGTGGGTGGGTGAGTGTATGAGTGGGGGGGGTGCGTGAGTGAGTGTATGAGTGGCTGAGTGAGTGTATGAGTGGGTGAGTGAGTGAGTGGTTGGGTGGGTGAGCGATTGAGTGGGTAAGCGTGTGGGCGAGTGGGTGATTCAGTGGGTGGGTATGTGAGTGAGTGGGTGGGTGAGTGGGTAAGTGAGTGAATTGGTGGGTGGGTGAGTGAGTTGTTGACTGAGTGGGTGGGTGAGTGGCTCAGTGAGTGCGTGAGTGAGTTGGTGTGTGCATGGGTGAGTGAACGAGTGGGTGAGTGAGAGCGTTGGTGGGTGGGTGAGTGAATTAGTGGGTGAGTGAGTGGTTCAGTGGGTGAGCGAATGGGTGAGTGGGTGAGCGAACGGGTGAGCGCGTGGGTGAGTGGGTATGTGAGTGAGTGGGTGGGTGAGTGGGTAAGTGAGTGAATTGGTGGGTGGGTGAGTGAGTTGTTGACTGAGTGGGTGGGTGAGTGGCTCAGTGAGTGCGTGAGTGAGTTGGTGTGTGCATGGGTGAGTGAACGAGTGGGTGAGTGAACGAGTGGGTGAGTGAGAGCGTTGGTGGGTGGGTGAGTGAATTAGTGGGTGGGTGAGTGGTTCAGCGGGTGAGCGAATGGGTGAGTGGGTGAGCGAACGGGTGAGCGCGTGGGTGAGTGGGTATGTGAGTGAGTGGGTGGGTGAGTGGGTAAGTGATTGAATTGGTGGGTAGGTGAGTGAGTTGTTGACTGAGTGGGTGGGTGGGTGAGTGGCTCAGTGAGTGCGTGAGTGAGTTGGTGTGTGCATGGGTGAGTGAACGAGTGGGTGAGTGAGAGCGTTGGTGGGTGGGTGAGTGAATTAGTGGGTGAGTGAGTGGTTCAGCGGGTGAGCGAACGGGTGAGCGGGTGAGCGAACGGGTGAGCGCGTGGGTGAGTGGGTTATTGAGTGGGTGGGTGAGTGAGTGAACAGGGTGAGTGTGTGTGTGGGTGAGCAGGTGGCTGAGCAAGGGACGCTACCTGAGTGACCGCTTTGCTGGCGCCGTTCACCTCGAGGAGGAAGCGGCGACGGCGTGGGGGAGGCGGCGACTCCTTGGAGGAGTCTGTGACACGGCGAGACACGGTGAGACACGGTGAGACACGGCGAGACACGGCGAGACACGGTGAGACACGGTGAGACACGGTGAGACACTCACTCACGGTGAGACACGGCGAGACACGGCGAGACACGGCGAGACACGGTGAGACACGGTGAGACACGGTGAGACACGGCGAGACACGGCGAGACACGGTGAGACACTCACTCACGGTGAGACACGGTGAGACACGGTGAGACACGGTGAGACACGGCGAGACACGGTGAGACACGGCGAGACACGGTGAGACACGGTGAGACACGGTGAGACACGGCGAGACACGGCGAGACACGGTGAGACACAGCGAAAACACGGCGAGACACGGTGAGACAGAGCATGAGACCCGGCTAGGCACGGCAAGAGACGGCGTGAGACACAGTGAAATAGGGTGAGACAAATTGACACATGGTGAGACACAGCGTGAGACACGGTGAGACACGCCGTGACACGGTGTGACACGGTGAGACACATGGTGTGACACGGAGGGACATGGTGAGACATGGCGTGAGACATGGAGAGAGACACGGCGAGAGACACGGCGAGAGACACAGCGAGAGACACGGGGTGAGCCACAATGCAGGACACGGTGAGCCAAGACACAGAGAGACACGGCGAGAGACACGGCGAGAGACACAGCGCAGGACACGGTGAGCCAAGACACAGTGAGACACGGGGGTGAGACACGGGGTGAGACACGGCGAGAGGCATGGCGAGAGACACGGGGTGAGGCACGGCGAGAGACACGGCGAGAGACACGGGGTGAGGCACGGCGAGAGACACGGTGAGCCAAGACACGGCAAGACAACGCAACACAGGTCAGGTCGAGACCCCGTCCGACTCTCCATCGTCACCGCTGCCCTCGCCGAGTCTCAAGACTCCCTCCCTTGGAGGGTCCTGCCCCGCTTCGCCAGGACGGGGGCGGCTCCGCTGCCGCTGCCGCCACCGTGATCCCGACAAGGGAGCTTGGAGGCAACCTTTCCAGCACTGGACATTGCCTTTTGATTCATGCCGATGCGCAGTTCCCACTGCGGCCATGGGGTTAGGCTCTCCCGGGTTGCCGACCCAATTGGCTGCGACGCACCTCGCCCGCCACGGGAAACCACGGCAACACAGCTCACCTGAACCACGGCAACACACCTCACCTGAACCACGGCAACGCACCTCGCCTGAACCACGGCAACGCACCTCACCTGAACCACGGCAACGCACCTCACCTGAACCACGGCAACGCACCTCACCTGAACCACGGCAACGCACCTCGCCCGCCAAACTCGTCAAGGAGCGCCGCAAACCACCATCACGTGACACTCCAGTCGTCGCCCTCGCAGCGGCGGCTTTTGGCTACACTATACACTATACGCTACACTATACACTACACTATACACTACACTATACACTGCTATACACTACACTATACACTACACTATACACTACACTATACACTACACACTACACTATACACTACACTATACACTGCTATACACTGCTATACACTACACTATACACTACATTATACTACACACTGTGATACACTACATTATACACTACACTGTACACTACACACTATAAACTACTATATACTATACTATACACTACACTATACACTACACTGTACACTACACTATACACTACACTATACACTACACTATAAACTACTATACACTACATTATACACTACACTATACTATACACTACACTATACACTACACTATACACTACTATACACTATATTATACACTACACTATACTATACACTACACTACACACTATACACTACACTATACACTAATATACACTACAATGTACACTATACTGTACACTACACGACACACTGCTATACACTACACTATACACTACACTTTTGGATAGTCATTAATCAAAGACGGTGGTCACCACATCGTCGCGCAGCGCTTTCAGACGTGCTGCTTCTGCGGCCGTCTGGAACGCTCTTCCTTACCGATATTCGCAAGCCACTGGGAGCTCGGCCACTTTTAAATCATCATCATCTAGGTTGACAAACTAATTTCTTTAGAACTGCTTCTTGTTGTTGTTGTGTTTAGTTTGTCGTCCGCCCCTCCCACCGCACCTCCAACCAGCACGGTTGGCTACGTACGGTGTGAAAGAAGTTCAACACGCATACATACAAGGCTGTGTGTCGACCTAGGGGAGGCCCGGGACCAGGTTCAGATAATCACCGCCCATGTTGGTTGTGAGCGGGGCATCGAACTCGGTTTAGTTGGGTCCACAGGGAGGCGCGATAAGCACTGTGCCACCGCTCCCAACAGCACTTGCCCGTGTAGGCCGTACGGGGGATCTTTGTCTTTGTGTTTACCGAGAGCAGTGGGAGCCTGATGCAGTGGGGAGCTGGGAGGCACGGAGTCGCTGGTTTCCGTCTTGCATACAGCTTCCCACACCTGCAACATCATTACCAACATCACCAACATCATCACTAACATCATCACTAACATCATCACTAACATCATTACCAACATCATCACAGCAGCAGCAGCCAGTGCTGTGTATTTACGACTGAACCTACACATTCTCTCTCTCTCCCAGCCCACGTGTTTCTGCACACAAAGACAAAGATCCCCCGTATAGCCTTAACAGACTGTTGGGGCAAGTGCTGTTAGCGAGCACCTATAAAGGCCGGAACGGAACACGAGGTGGGTGGGTGGCCAGCAAGCACACACGCGCACATACACACAACAACAACCGCCATTCGCCACTAAGTGACGGTGACGTCACCACGGCGCTTGTGCCAGGCCATGTGCACCTTGAGGCCACGTGAAGTGTCGAATGCCCGCTGGCAGGTCACGCGGCAGACCCAGGTGACACGGGTCGACTGACTGAGACGACCGAGATGACTGACTGATGCACCACCTGTGCCCCCTACTGTGCCAACTTGCTGTGCTTTAGCCACCCGGCGCTCCGCTCGTTATTGTGAGCGTCGCTCCTCCGACCCTCCGTTGTTGTTGGAGGGCGACTGCCTCCAACTGCCCAGTAGCGTCCTTCACGAGCCTCCTCCACAGAGGCCAATCTTGACACCGCTGGTACCAGTCATCGGCAAGTCCACTCAGGTCCACATCCTCCTGTACCACATTACTCCATCTCTTCTCTAGCCCGTGACGCGCCCGTTTAGCCCCCTCAATCCGGGCAAATAAAAGCTGTTTAGGCATTAAGTGGCTGGGCAAGCGGGCTACATGACCCAGCCAACGCAGCCTTGCCCGCCGGAGGAGCTCACCGATGGGACCTTGCCCAGATCTTTCAAGGATTTGTGAGCTCCTCACACAATCCAGTCTGGTTAAACCCAGGATGGATCATAGGCAGGCCAGCCTAAATGTTTCTAATCGGCGAAGATGCTCCATTAGTGGGATCCACGTTTTGACTGTGGCCACGAAGACCTGAAGCTTCGTGCGGAGCGACAGACCAGGTAGCTTCCACATAGCGTTATGCAACCGATGAAAAAATATTGCCGCTCGACTGATTCAGAGTGAGACCTCTGCTGTCAAACCGGAGCCGGTAATGAGCACACTGCCCAGGTAGGGGAAACTCTCCACTCTCTCCACAAATGCCCATGGCGGTGGAGTGTCCGATGGTACAAAATACCCAGGCAGGTGCTTAGTTTTGGTAGGGCTGATGGTAAGGCCCCACCTCTTAGTGGCACGCTCCAGGTTCAGCAGCAACACATCCAACCCCTCCTCTGAGTGAGCAGCAATTACCAGATCATCGGCATACATAACATGGTTGAGCAATAGGGAGCCATCCCTTGACCGCACCCGGGCATCGATCATCCTCCCATTGTATCTGTACCAGATGGAAATTCCTCCGGTACAGCCATCGAAGGCTTCACGAACTACGTGGTCGAAATAGATGTTAAATAATGTGGGAGCCAGAGGACATCCTTGTCGCACCCCAAGGTGTACAGGGAATGGCTCTGACTCCCGGCCACGTAGTTTTACCCGGGCCTGCTCACCATCATGAAGGTCCTTAATGATCGTGAGCAGAGGGTCAGGGACTCCAAAAGCACGAATTACAACCCAGAGCCCAGGCCTACTGATGGTATGATAGGCCTTGACCAGGTCAATAAAGCAGAGATGTAGGTCTTGTTGGAATTTCCTACAGCTCTGCTGTAGCAGACTGAAAATATCGCACCTGTGCAGGACCGCCCTTTCCTGAAACCGCATTGGGGCTCCGCAAGCCTCTCCTCAGCATGCCTGGCAAGGCGATGTTGGATAATCCTTGCTCGGATCTTTCCTGGCACACTGAGGAGTGAGATGCCCCTGTAGTTGTTACAGTCTGTGCGGCCCCCCTTCTAAAAGAGGGAGACCACCAGGGCATCCTTCTAATCCTGCGGAACACATCCAGTGGTCCAGACTGTTGTTATGATGTCATGTAGGGCAGTCTGTGCACAAACGCCACCCTCCCTCAGCATTACGCTTTGGAGATCATCTCTGTCCGGTGCCTTTCCTGGTCTCAGACTCTGGATTGCCTTCAGTACTTCCTCAACAGATGGAACCTCAGCCAGCCACTCACAGCGGGTGACTTCTTCCAATATTTGAGTCACCACAGCCTCAGCAGTGTCATTCCCTCTTTGTCTGATGATGTTTTCCAGGCAGAGGGATTTCCCCTCCCCCAGGACCTCACAGAAGTGCTCAGCAAATTTGCAAACCTGTTCCTGGGGGTCAGAGATTGGATTACCGTTCTTTCCCGTAATGATGGTAATAGGTGTGGCGCTGAAAGTAACTTTTTTGATGGAGTTAAAGAGCGATTTGTGATTGCAGGCCATTGAGGCAGATTCCATCTCACCAACCTGCGACCACCACCCATCCTTGCAGTGCCTCACGGCTCTCCGAACCTCCGAGCGAAGGCTGCGGTAAGCCTCCTCATTATCTTGCATAGGATGCTGTAGCCGATGAGAGTGGGCCTGTCACTTTTTCTCAGCCAGCCTGAACACCTCCTCTGTCAGCCAGGGTCTCTGGGCAGGTCTGGACCGTGTACCCAAATCAACCATTGCAGCTGCATGAGCCAGAGTCCTAAACCTCGCCTATTTCCCCTCGACAGCAGGAGGAGTAGGGGATGATGCCAACCCCAGCCACAAGCGATGATGAATATCTTGCTTGCAACTTTTATCAGCGAGCTGAGACCAGGCCACTAAGGGTTTGAATGGGGTTTACACCCACCACCGAAGTGGAAGAATGGCAAGCACATTTTACAGAAAACAAGTCAATGGTCAGAGGGCAGATCAGCTCCACGGTAGGTCCTGGTGTCAAAGACATGGGCCCGCATCCGCTGTTCCATCACTATTTAGTCCAGCAGATGTTCTTGCTTGGACCTGGCATGCATCCATGATCCTGTGTGGATGTGCCAATGCCGGAACAGCGTGTTGGTAATTACAAGCCCATGGGCTGCACAAAAATCGAGCAGTCTCCTACCGGTTATTGAGCTGATCTGGCCCATGCCCTCCAATCACTCCAGACCAGGTGCCAGGATCATGACCAACTCGAGCATTAAAGTCGCCCAACAAGATGACTCTATCCCGAGGGGCCACTTTAGCTAGCACCTGTGACAGGAGGTCATAGAAGGCATCTAACTCATCGGCCTTATCTGCATCCCTCCACGGATATTCGTCTTCGGTGGGGGCAGAAGTAACCAAGACCACCACTCCTCGCCTCTGGTTGATGGGAAGGCGAGCCCAAAGTAGCCTGGGGCTTACAGCTTCCCACACCTCACTGCCACGTTCCCACACCCCTTCATGCTTTGTTCAGAAGCCACTCCCTGTTGTTTGGCATTCTCCTGCCCCGAGTCGAGGACTGTCCACCCCTCATGGTGGCAGGAGCCAGAGCCGGTCCACCGGACCTTCTGAATACCACAGATATCCAGATGGTATCGGTCCAGCTCCTAACAGAGGAGTGGCAGCCTCTCCTCTGCAGTGAGCGTTCCAACATTCCACGTGGCCACACGCAGTGGTTTTTTGCTGTTTCTGGAGGAGCCCCGATGGTAAGGATTCAGTCTCCTGGCTCCGCCAAATGGGGTTTGGCCAGGAGCCTGTCCCCACCGCGGCCTCTGGCACAAGCTTAATTAGATATTTTTGCACGTGGTTTTGTGGTAATTAATTGAAGGGGGAGGGGTTACCACCCCCTCGCATCCAGAGCCCCCTTTGGCTGCTGTGGTGGTTACAAACGCCATGAGGGGAATGGCCAATCGAAATTGGCCCTCCCCCCCCCACGGCACTGCTCACCACAGCATTGCACATACACACAGACATACACGCACACACATGCACATACACGCACACACACATACACGTACACACATACACGCACACTCACACACACGTATACGGATACAAAGATCCCCCGTATAGTCTTAACAGACTGTTGGGGTGAGTGCTGTTGGCGAGTAGCGAGCACCTACGAAGGCCGGCACTGTGGCACACGAGGGGGGTGGGTGGCCAGCACCACACCCGGCCGCCTTTGTATCCCCAGTGGCAACGTTCACACGCCGCACCGAGCGCTCATTTGAGCCCGAGTCGATCGAGGGGAGGTCCGGAACCGGTTCAGATAAATCGTCACTGGTGGTGTTGGTGGCCGTGACCGGGAATCGAACCCGGGTCTCTGCTGGGTTCGTAGCGCAGTGCGCTACCCGCTGCACTACCGCTCCCTTCCCGCACACACACACACAGACACAATGATAAAGACATTCCCCGTGTAGCCTTTAACAGGCTGCAGGGGCAAATGCTATAATTGAGTAGCAGCGCCCTGTGAAGGCCGGCACGGCACCTATGCAGGTGCCGTGCCGCTACAGGTACGCACGGACACAACAAAGACTAAACTATAAACTATTTTTTTTATTTTACCAGGCAAGGCCCCACTGTGCTATGTAGCTCGTCGTTGTCACCATCGTGGTCATCATCAGCAGCATCATCAGCAGCATCATCGTCATCATCAGAATCAGCAGCAGCAGGACCGTCATCATCGGCAGCATCATCAGCATCACCAGCAGCAGCAACGTCATCATCATCGTCGTCGTCATCATCAGCAGCGTCAGCAGCATCATCGTGATCATCAGCATCGTCATCAGCAGCTTTATCATCATCAGCAGCAATCGTCATCATCTGCAGCAGCATCATCATCAGCATAATCAGAAGCATCATCAGAAGCATAGTCATCATCAGCAGATCAGCAACAATCGTCATCTGCAGCAGCAGCAGCAGCATCAGAAGCAGCATCAGCAGCATCATCAATAGCAGCATCAGCAGTAGCAGCATCAGCATCGTCATCAGAAGCATCATCAGAAGCATAGTCATCATCAGCAGATCAGAAGCAATCGTCATCTGCAGCAGCATAATCAGAAGCATAGTCATCATCAGCAGATCAGCAGCATCGTCATCATCAGCAGTATCGTCAGCAGCAGCATAATCAGTAGCAGCATCAGCAGCAGCAGCATGAGAAGCATAGTCATCATCAGCAGCATCAGCGTGATCAGCAGCAGCATCATCGTGATCAGCAGCAGCATCATCGTGATCAGCAGCAGCATCATCGTGATCAGCAGCAGCATCATCGTGATCAGCAGCATCGTCATCAGCAGCATCGTCTTCGTCATCATCAGCAGCATCGTCATCAGCAGCAGCATCGTCATCGTCAGCCATGGCCAGGGATCGCCAACCTAAACTGAACTCTTGTTTATTGTTACCAGGTGCAAGGCGCCACTGAGCTCTGTAGATATATTTCAGACCCGACCTGGCCATCACGAATGAGAGCTCAACGAAGTGGGCTCATCATCATCATCACCACCACCATCATCACTACGTGGAAATGTACAGCAGCAGCTAACTACTCTAAACGCGTGGTGACGTTGGATCTCAATGTGGAGGGGGGAAACCGGAGGACCCGGAGAGAAATCCACGCGACCACCACGGGAAGAGAGAGACACGCAGACTCCAAATATACAGTAGCAGGAGTCAGGGTGGGGATTGAACCCACGACCTCCTGTGTACCAGGCGAGGTAGTTAACATCTCGTAGCCACCGTCATGATGATGAGAGAGAGAGAGACACGCAAACTCCAAATATACAGCAGCAGGCGTCAGGGTCGGGATCGAACCCACGACCTCCTGTACACCACGACCAAACATCACCACACACTGCATCACCATCACACTACATCACCATCACACAAACATCACCATACACTACATCAACATCACACAAACATTACCATACACTACATCACCATCACACAAACATCACCACACACTACATCACCATCACACAAACATCACCATACACTACATCAACATCACACAAACATCACCATACACTACATCACCATCACACAAACATCACCACACACTACATCACCATCACACAAACATCACCACACACTACATCACCATCACACAAACATCACGACACACTACATCACCATCACACAAACATCACCACACACTACATCACCATCACACAAACATTACCACACACTACATCACCATCACACAAACATCACCACACTACATCACCACACACTACATCACCATCACACAAACATCACCACACACTACATCACCATCACACAAACATCACCACACACTACATCACCATCACACAAACATCACGACACACTACATCACCATCACACAAACATCACCACACACTACATCACCATCACACAAACATCACGACACACTACATCACCATCACACAAACATCACCACACACTACATCACCATCACACAAACATCACCACACTACATCACCACACACTACATCACCATCACACAAACATCACCACACACTACATCACCATCACACAAACATCACCACACACTACATCACCATCACACTACATCACCACACACTACATCACCATCACACAAACATCACCATCACACAAACATCACCACACACTACATCACCATCACACTACATCACCACACACTACATCGCCATTACACAAACATCACCACACACTACATGACCATCACACAAACATCACCATACACTACATGACCATCACACAAACATCACCACACACTACATCACCATCACACAAACATCACCACACACTACATGACCATCACACAAACATCACCACACACTACATGACCATCACACAAACATCACCATACACTACATCAACATCACACAAACATCACCATACACTACATCAACATCACACAAACATCACCACACACTACATTGCCATCACACAAACATCACCACACACTACATAACCATCACACAAACATCACCACACACTACATCACCACACACTACATCACCATCACACTACATCACCACACACTACATCACCATCACACAAACATCACCACACACTACATCACCATCACACAAACATCACCATACACTACATCACCATCACACAAACATCACCACACACTACATCACACAAACATCACCATACACTACATCACCACACACTACATCAACATCACACACACACCACACACTACATCAACATCACCATACACCACATCACCATCACACAAACGTTAACACACACCGCATCACACAAACATCACCACACGTAGCACAACTACCATCAACATCACACAAGCATCAGCGCAGACACCGCATAAGCATCAACATCACACAACCCACATTACACATTCACACACACCGCATCTCACAAACATGACCACGACCAAAACACCGCCGATGTTGTTAGCACCACACTCGCCACCCTCCCATCCCTCGCTTAGTCACTCGGTCAGCCACTCACCCACTCACTAAGTCAGTCACCCACTCAGCCACTCACTCAGTCATTCAGTCACTCACTCACTCACCCACTCAGTCACTCACTCAGTCAGTCACTCAGTCACCCACTCAGTCACCCACTCAGTCACTCCGTCACCCACTCAGTCACTCAGTCAGTCAGTCACTCACTCAGTCAGTCACCCACTCAGTCACTCACTCAGTCACCCACTCAGTCACTCACTCAGTCACCCACTCAGTCACTCACTCAGTCACCCAATCAGTCACTCACTCAGTCAGTCACTCAGTCACCCACTCAGTCACTCACTCAGTTACCCACTCAGTCACCCACTCAGTCACTCAGTCAGTCACTCACTCAGTCACTCCGTCACCACTCAGTCACTCACTCAGTCACTCACTCAGTCACTCAGTCACTCACTCAGTCACCCACTCAGTCACTCACTCGGTCAGTCACTCAGTCACCCACTCAGTCACCCACTCAGTCACTCACCCACTCACCCACTCAGTCACTCAGTCACCCACTCAGTCACTCCGTCACTCACTCAGTCACTCACTTGCTCGCCACTAGAGGCCGCTATATCGGCAGGCAGTTTCCTCACTCAGTCACTTAGTCACTCACTCAGTCACTCATTTAGTCACTCACTCAGTCACTCACTTGCTCGCCACTAGAGGCCGCTATATCGGCAGGCAGTTTCCTCACTCAGTCACTTAGTCACTCACTCAGTCACTCACTTAGTCACTCACTCAGTCACTCACTTGCTCGCCACTAGAGGCCGCTATATCAGCAGGCAGTTTCCTCTTGAGAGGCCTGGCGGGCTTGCGACTCCGCTTTTCTCTCTCGCCGTCTCCCATCGCTACTCCGCTGCCCTTCGCGCTGCTGCTGCTCCTCCTGCTGATGATGATGATGTTGCCGATGATGATGTTGCCGATGATGATGTTGCCGATGATGATGCTGTTTATTGTGTTGATGCTGCTCTCTTCGGATGATGATGATGGTGGTGCTGCTGCTGCTGATGTTGTTGCTGCTGATGATGTTGGTCACGGTGCTGCTGCTGCTGATGATGATGATCTTGCTGATGACGATGATGCTGGTGACGGTGGTGCTGCTGCTGATAATGATGTTGCTGATGACGATGATGTTGCTGCTGATGACGATGTTGCTGATGATGATGCTGTTGCTGATGTTGTTGTTGTTGCTGATGATGCTGATGATGATGACAATGATATTCGGACTGGTCCCGGCTGCAGGTCCGCTTGGTGTGGCGCTGAGAGGCGGCGCCTCTGAGTGAAAGAGAGACGGAGGGAGAGAGAGGAGTGATGGAGGCGGAGTGGAGGAGGAGTTTGTGATGGAAGAGGAGTGATGGAGGAGTGGAGGAGGAGGAGTTTGTGATGGAAGAGGAGTGATGGAGGAGTGGAGGAGGAGTTTGTGATGGAAGAGGAGTGATGGAGGAGGGGAGGAGGAGGGGTGATGGAGGAGGAGGGGTGGAGGAGGAGGAGTGGAGGAGGAGTTTGTGATGGAAGAGGAGTGATGGAGGAGGAGTGGAGGAGGAGTTTGTGATGGAAGAGGAGTGATGGAGGAGGGGAGGAGGAGGAGTTTGTGATGGAAGAGGAGTGATGGAGGAGGGGAGGAGGAGGAGTTTGTGATGGACGAGGAGTGATGGAGGAGGAGTGGAGGAGGAGGGGAGGAGGAGGAGTGATGGAGGAGGAGTTTGTGATGGAGGAGTGGAGGAGGAGGAGTGATGGAGGAGGAGTGGAGGAGGCGTTTGTGATGGAAGAGGAGGAGGGGTGTGAGTGGGGGGAGGGAGAGATCGGGTTCCGTCTGTGTGTGTACTTGCTGTGTGTGTGTACTTGGTGTATGTGTGTACTTGGTGTATGTGTGTACTTGGTGTATGTGTGTACTTGGTGTGTGTACATGGTGTGTGTGTACTTGGTGTGTGTGTACTTGGTGTATGTGTGTACATGCTGTGTGTGTACATGGTGTGTGTGTGTAATTTATGTGTGTGTGTACTTGGTGTATGTGTGTACATGGTGTGTGTGTACATGGTATGTGTGTGTACTTGGTGTGTGTGTGTACTTGGTGTATGTGTGTACTTGGTGTGTGTGTACATGGTGTGTGTGTGTACTTGGTGTATATGGTGTGTGTACATGGTGTGTGTGTACTTGGTGTGTGTGTGTACTTGGTGTATGTGTGTACATGGTGTGTGTGTGTACATGGTGTGTATGTGTACTTTATGTGTGTGTGTGTACTTGGTGTGTGTGTTTACTTGGTGTGTGTGTACATGGTGTGTGTACTTTATGTGTGTGTACTTGGTGTGTGTGTACTTGGTCTGTGTGTGTACTTGGTGTGTTATGTGTACTTGGTGTGTACCTGGTTTGTGTGTACTTTATGTGTGTACTTGGTGTGTATGTGTACTTGGTGTGTGTACTTTGTGTGTGTGTGTACTTGATGTGTGTGTGTGTACTTGATGTGTGTGTATTTGATGTGTGTGTACACTTGATGTGTGTGTACTTGGTGTGTGTACTTGGTGTGTGTGTACTAGGTGTGTGTGTACTTGGTGTGTCTGTACTAGGTGTGTGTGTACTTGCTGTGTGTGTACTAGGTGTGTGTGTGTGTACTTGGTGTGTGTACTTGGTGTGTGTGTGTACTAGGTGTGAGTGTGTACTTGATGTGTGTGTGTACTTGATGTGTGTGTGTACTTGGTGTGTGTACTTGATGTGTGTGTGTACTAGGTGTGTGTGTACTTTCTGTGTGTGTGTACTTGGTGTGTGTGTACTTGATGTGTGTGTGTACTTGGTGTGTGTGTGTACTTGATGTGTGTGTGTACTTGGTGTGTGTACTTGATGTGTGTGTGTACTTGGTGTGTGTGTACTTGCTTTGTGTGTACTTGCTTTGTGTGTGTACTTGGTGTGTGCACTTGGTGTGTGTGTGTGCATGGTGTGTGTATGTACTAGGTGTGTGTACTTGGTGTGTGTGTGTGTACTTGATGTGTGTGTGTGTACTTGATGTGTGTGTGTACTTGGTGTGTGTGTGTACTTGCTTTGTGTGTACTTGCTTTGTGTGTGTACTTGGTGTGTGTACTTGATGTGTGTGTACTTGGTGTGTGTATGTACTAGGTGTGTGTACTTGGTGTGTGTGTGTATTAGGTGTGTGTGTACTTGGTGTGTGTGTGTACTAGGTGTGTGTGTATACTAGGTGTGTGTGTGTGTGTACTTGGTGTGTGTACTAAGTGTGTGTGTTTGTACTAGGTGTGTGTACTTGGTGTGTGTGTGTACTGGGTGTGTGTGTGTACTTGGTGTGTGTGTACTAGGTGTGTGTGTGTGTACTAGGTGTGTGTGTGTGTACTTGGTGTGTGTACTAGGTGTGTGTGTTTGTACTAGGTGTGTGTACTTGGTGTGTGTGTGTGTACTGGGTGTGTGTGTACTTGGTGTGTGTGTGTACTTGGTGTGCTGTGGAGCGGTCGTGTAGCTGTTAGCGCGTTGCGCTACGAACCTGGCGACCCGAGTTCGATTCCCGCTCACGGCCAATAGGCACTGGACCTCCCCTAGGTCGACTCAGCCTCAAATGAGTACGTGGTGCTGTGTGTAAAAACATCGCCACTGGGGAGACAAAGACGGTCGGGCGTGGTGGTGGTGGTGATGGCCACCCCCTCGTGTACCGTGCCGGCCTTCATAGGTGCTCCTCGCTAACAGCACTTGCCCCTACAGTCTGTTAAGTCTACACGGGAGGTCTTTGTCTTTGTGTGTACTTGACGTGTGTGTGGGGGGGGTCTGGTTTTGATGCGAGTGTGGATGGGGGTGTGTGAAGGATTGGGTTTAGGGTGTTTGTGTGTCTGTGTGTGTGTCTGTGTGTGTCTGTGTGAGCGTGTCTGTGTGTGTGTCTGTGTGTGTGAGTGTGTCTGTATGTGTGTGTGTGTCTGTATGTGTGTCTGAGTGTGTATATGTATGTGTCTGTGTGAGCGTGTCTGTGTGTGTGTGTCTGTATGTGTGTGTCTGTATGTGTGTGTCTGAGAGTGTGTGCCTGAGTGTGTGTCTGTGTGTGTATGTATGTGTGTCTGTATGTGTGTGCCTGAGTGTGTGTCTGTGTGTGTGTGTATGTATGTATGTCTGTGTGTGTGAGTGTGTGTCTGTGTGTGTGTCTGTGTGTATGGTGCGATAGGGGGGATCGGGTTTTGCGAGTGGATGGATGTGTGTTTGTGGAGGGATGGTGAGATGAGCGTGTGTGTGTGTGTCTGGGTGTGTGTGAATGTGTTTGTGTGTGTGTCTGGGTGTGTGTGAATGTGTTTGTGTGTGTGTCTGGGAGTGTGTGAATGTGTTTGTGTGTGTGTCTGGGTGTGTGTGAATGTGTTTGTGTGTGTGTCTGGGTGTGTGTGAATGTGTTTGTGTGTGTGTCTGGGTGTGTGTAAATGTGTTTGTGTGTGTGTCTGGGTGTGTGTGAATGTGTTTGTGTGTGTGTCTGGGTGTGTTTGTGTGTGTCTGGGTGTGTGTGTGTGTGAATGTTTGTGTGTGTCTGTGTGTGTGGGGAGCGGTGGTGCAGCAGTTAGCGGTACGCTGCGCTACGAACCCGGCGACCCGGGTTCGATTCCCGCTCACGGCCAACACCGGTGACGATTATCTGAACCGGTCCCGGGCCTCCCCTAGGTCGACTCAGCCTCAAATGAGTACCTGGTGCGGTGTGTAAACATCGCCACTGGGGAGACAAAGGCGGTCGGGCGTGGTGCTGGCTACCCACCCCCTCGTGTACCGTTTCGGCCTTCATAGGTGCTGCTTGCTAACAGCACTTGCCCCTACAGTCTGTTAATGCTATACGGGGGATCTTTGTCTTTGTATGTGAGTGTGTATGTGCGTGAGTGTGTGAATGTGTCTGGGTGTCTGGGGTGTGTGAATGTGTTCGTGTGTGTGAATGTGTCTGGGTGTGTCTGGGTGTGTGTGAATGTGTCTGGGTGTGTGTAAATGTGTCTGGGTGTGTCTGGGTGTGTGTGAATGTGTTCGTATGTGTGAATGTGTCTGGGTGTCTGGGTGTGTCTGGGTGTGTGTGAATGTGTCTGGGTGTCTGGGTGTGTGTAAATGTGTCTGGGTGTGTCTGGGTGTGTGTGAATGTGTTCGTGTGTGTGAATGTGTCTGGGTGTGTGTGAATGTGTCTGGGTGTCTGGGTGTGTGTGAACGTGTCTGGGTGTGTGTGAATGTGTCTGGGTGTGTCTGGCTGTGTGTGAATGTGTCTGGGTGTCTGGGTGTGTGTGAATGTGTCTGGGTGTGTGTGTGAATGTGTCTGTGTGTGTGTGAATGTGTTCGTGTGTGTGGAGGAGCGACGCTCACAACAGCGAGTGGAGCGCCGGGCGGTTAAATCACAGGTGCTGTGCATCTACCGGTCATCTCAGTCAAGCAACACGTGGCACCTGCTGGGTCTGTCCCGTGACCTCCTGCCAGCGGGCGTTCGACACTTCACGTGGACTCAAAAGTGCACCTGGACTGGCACTTCGTGGCGAATGTCGGCTATTGGTGTTTGTGGATGATTGGGTTTGGGGTGTTTGTGTAAGATGTGTGTGTGTGTAAGCTTTGTGTGTAGTGGAAATGTGGAGATTTAGATGTGTGTCTGCGGGGAGCGGTAGTGGAGTGGTTAGCGCGCTGCGCTACAAAACCGGCGACCCAGTTCGATTCTCAACCAGTGACAATTATCTATACCGGTCCCGGGCTTCCCCTAGGTCGACTCAGCCTCAAATGAGTACCTGGTGCGAGGTGTAAATATCGCCACTGGGGATACAAAGGTGGCCGGGCGTGGTGCTGGCCACCCACCCCCTTGTGTGCGTGCCGGCCTTCATAGGTGCTGCTTGCTAACAGCACTTGCCCCGACAGTCCGGCTACACGGGGGATCTTTGTCTGTTATACGCTCTGTGTGTGTCTGTGACTGTGTTGCGAACTTACCGTGGAACGAGTCGCGGAGTCTCAAGGACCTCGGTCGCGAGAGGGTCCTGCCACGTTGGGATGTTTGGTCGTGGTATACAGGAGGTACGTGGGTTCGATTCCAAACCCTGAACGCCTGCTGCTGTATATTTGGAGTTTGCGTGTCTCTCTCTCATCATCATGGTGGCTAGGAGATGTTAAGTACCTCGCCTGGTATACAGGAGGTACGTGGGTTCGATTCCAAACCCTGAACGCCTGCTGCTGTATATTTGGAGTTTGCGTGTCTCTCTCTCATCATCATCACGGTGGCTAGGAGATGTTAAGTACCTCGCCTGGTATACAGGAGGTACGTGGGTTCGATTCCAAACCCTGAACGCCTGCTGCTGTATATTTGGAGTTTGCGTGTCTCTCTCTCTCATCATCATCATCGTCATCACGGTGGCTAGGAGATGTTAACTACTTCGC